GCTTCTGGGAACGACTGTAAACACACACACACACACACACACAGACAAAATCAGACAGCATGTTGTTTGAAGGACCCGGAGGGGGGGGGGTTCCAAAAAAGCAGCTCTTACAAACAGACATTGACAACAAAAAGACGGCACAAGATACTGAAAAGCAGTTACTGAATGTCCTGTTCCACCCACTTACACTCTCGCTTATTATAGTTGGTTTTCTCCAAATGCCTCGATTATTTTCTCAAATTTTGCTTTCTGACGGTGTTTAAAGGCTTTAAATCAGACATTTTTCCCTCCTCTACAGTTCTACTCTTACTTTTTTCCCCCTCTCTCCATTAATACTGTTGACTCCTGGGCCATCTCATCAGATTACCCAGCGGTTTTAGGAGGAAATGTCAGGTCATACCACGCTGACTGTCTTTGAGTTTTGTTGACAGTTCCTTCTGACCCCACTGGCTGCTCCTCTGCAGGACGGCAGTTCTCTGGAGAAGAGAAATCCCGTCCATCTCAATTGCCGAAGAGGCGCGCATAAAAGACACCAAAGTGCTTCACAGTAATTTCACAGCCATCAGCCTTCATCGCTGTGAGAGGGCAGCGGGTTCAGGATGGTGCGAACCACGGGGCGAAGAAATGGACTCACACTCGGGATGCAGCACTTTCCTAGTCACTGCTGCTTTCACTCATCTTGAGGCAGACACTCAAAATTCTTCCTTCTCAAATATTCTTCCTTCTCTCTCTGTCACAACCACACAAAAACTTTTTGCATACACACACACACACACACACACACACACACACTCTTAAACATAAATGTACAATATACCCTCTGCAGTTTCACCATACCCGTGCCGTGTCTCTCACAGTCTGGTGAGTCTGCTTCCTCTCTCAGCAGACAGGAAGTTATAATGACAAGAATACGCACGGATGCACGCGCACACACACACACACACACACACACTTAAATGCAAGCATAACACCTGCACACCTGCATCTACATAGATTTTAATAACAGCCAATATAATAAAGCTTGGAAATACACAAAAAACATCATTTATAAAGCATGCATAGGAGTTATCACACATAATATTGGTTATCATGTCCTCACACAATCACAGGCCGCCTCCAGCCAACGCGCTCTGAAGCTCTGACCCAAACCACAGGGAGAGAAAAAAAGAGCAGGCAAAGAATCACAGGAAGCAGCTCGCCTACTCCAACCAATCAGGGATTAAACATGACTCAGCCCAGCCTCTCATCTTATTGTGGCCTTGAGGCTGTTAGAGCGACTCCTGGGTCAAAGTTAGTCTCTCTGTATTTACTTCTCTCCCTTCCGTCCTCTTCGTGAAAAAGAGGTGATGATGGCTACTTTTGTTCCCAGCCTCATCGTCAACTCGCTGCTGCTAGCGCCGCCTTTGTAGTCATTGTTTAGGCCGACCAGGGGTTTAACTTCTGTCCAATAAACAGTCCTGATTTCTAAAAATGCCTCAACCTTTTCCCATCATTTCATCTACTTTCGATTTCCTTTTATATATATATATGTATGTAAGCCTTTTGAAATTATACTGTCATGTAACATTTCTTTAAAAAGGGTGCTGTGTGCTGGAGCAGCACAGCGTGTGGACTCATGACGCCTGATCGAGCATTTGGGGACCAGAGGGAATGAGAGAGGAGATTATCAAGCTCCTAAGCTACCCAGCTGCCACTGGAGCTGTGTGGGCAACACTACATCCTGTCTCCCTTTTTGTTTTCCTCCCTGCCTCTTTCATGGTCACTCTCATTAGACAGTAGTGATAGCAGACACCTCTATAGGGAAGTACTGCAGGACATAAGGAGAAGGAAAGGGAATCAAAAGCAGAGAACCATCAAAAATCATGCACACTAAATTTGGAAAATTCCTTTTCTCTCTGCTGGCATGTTATTCTGACAGTCA